CACCCCCCTACATTTTTGCTGCCCCTCCCCCTCCCAATGCAGTAATAAATGAAAGCCCCCTGAGGGTAGGGGACAAGAATGGGCAAAATTCTCTAGACTATTACTCAAAGGTTAGCAAAATGGCAAAATATGTAAATAACAACTAGTTTTGGAACTAGTTTGGACTGCGTCAGTGTTTTTTAGTTGAAACAAATGTGGACTCTGACAAAGGACTAACGTCTGAAACGTCAGTCTATTATCTTTCGTATTTACGGCGATAAAATTATCTACTATGACACAAAATAGCAAAATGTTCACTTAGACTCTCTGGCTAGTTCATGACCTTCTCCTAACATTTCAAAACTTGATGAAACCCCTGCCTCAGTAATTCGTCAAAACTCCCAATGTTATCATACCTATTACGACAACATCAAAATCTTCAGTTTCTTCATATCTTTCAGACATTTCAAATTATCTTGAAATAACCTGGGAATAACAAGGATTCATAACATTAAACATGGTATAAAACCTGTTTTTGTATATTATTTTCTGAGTTTGCTGCAAGCAATTAATTAACATACCCTTGTAATCTAATTGTACCATTGTAAACAATGTGAAGTAAAGCGAACTCATCTAGATGCTTGAAACCATATCCAAGCAAGATATCCAAGCAACTGATAAATTTCTCATTTTTTCACAGTATTGGAATCTGTATGCATAAATAGACCCCATGCAGATTGCGCAATGCAGTTCAATTTGGAGGACATAACAAAAGGTTTCCAATTCTCAAATGATTGAAATTCTTTTGTTTTGTCCTCTGAATTGAGCTGCTTTGACGTCACATGCAAGGGGTCTATAGGCTACAGTCTTATCCCTTCGTTAATTAAGCTTAGAGCCTGTTAACATAGTGTAGACAATGGGATTAACCAATCTAAGCCACTTTCTATGTGTAAAATTATTGTTTTGCAAGACCTTTTAGAATGCTTTTTGATAAAGATATAAGGCTTACATCTAAGGTTATTAAGTCTAATTATGCTCCCTGTGCGACATTTTGTTTGCATTCCAATATGTTGGTATCAAAAAACCTTGGAACATATATTGTGCATACTGTGAGCTAGCTTTGTAACTGCAACAAAGGATATTTGGAACCCAGCTGCTGACAAATAAATGAGTGAACGACATGCTTAGCCAACCAGATAGCGGTATTAAATTCGGGTCTAATATCTACATRTGTCAATTACTTGTAAAGTCCTTATTCTATATATAGATTATTTTTTGCAGAGTCATAAATCGAACATGCGCGACAAGCTTTAAGCCTCGGAAGTAAATATCAAATTCTCAGCATAGCAAAAAGAATGGAATACTACGCGGAAAGGATTGATGAAATATTTAAAAAATTCTGCAAATAGCTTTGTGGTTCTATAAAAAGTGTGAAGTTTTGCGCGGGCGATCATACAAACGGACAATAAAAAAAAATCAAAAACAACAGAGATCAAAACGCTTTTAAATACCTAAATACCCTCAAAAACTTAATAACCACTTCCCTAGGAAGCGATGTTGCTAGTATAAGATATATCTGGTGTTTATATATTGGGCAAGCCCAGATTTTCTAGGTAAGGAAGCTTACTATCCCAGGATATTCCTAAGAAATATATAGTAAAGATCAAAGTTTCAAAACCGAATTAATCTTGAAAGAATATGTTCTTGTATGATGAATTTAGCATTAAATTTTCCCTACAAAAGCGTTTATGTAAGATTACATAACCTTTATCACAAGCGATAGACGGCATGGAACCGAGATTTTCACGTGTGCTTCGCCGTACACATGTCATCTTGCAAGCGTACAGCACATAGTCACAAGGACTATCGTTAACTATCGTTAACTTTAATTTTTTTTCGTAGCTAAGCTCCACTCACCTGCTTGAATGGCTAGAATATTACCAGCACAGACCAGGATTTCTGATAGATGCGATCTATAGTGATCGATAATGTCTTTAGGTCCGTATTTTAAATCAAAGACTGATCAAATTTATTCGGAATACATCGTCAAGTCCGGCAAGCGTCGACAAACAGCAGAAAACGCTGTAATTTGCGACGAACTAGGCTTTCCAACCTGTCTGATAAGAATTACGTAAAAGAGCTAGAGTCTTTGATCGCGAACATTATCATACCTGTAAAGCAGGGATCCACCAATCACTGGCCTCGTTCTAGGTAGGTCCGTCGTTAGACTTTTCCACAGTCCCTCGCTCGTCCGTTCCGTTCGTTTCAATATTTTTCAAGATGGCGGCGAAAAAGAGAGAGACTGTGGACGAGTATTTTGGTTCCCAAAGCACGCTGGGTCCAAGTTTTCGGGACCCATAAGACCTTTCGGTCATTGTACCGTTACAGTCTCTAAGTGTGGAGACGGAACGGACGAGCGAGAGACTGTGGAAGAGTCTGGTCTGTCGTACACTTACCACGTGATCTTGGACTAACACGTGACAAGGCGGCACAACTTTTCAACGTCTTATTTTAATATTTGTTTTATTTTTACATAAGTTTGACTTGAAGAAACAAAATATTAGACAGAGCTTTTCCTCACGCATGCTAATGTTCATTTTGAAATAAGCGGGCATTATGGCATGTTTCTGCCTACTTTATACTAAAATAGTATATCGTTTAATTAGCCATTTTCGCCGTCAACACGTGAAAACGTAAACGGCGTTTTTAAAGCGTTTACGAATGGAAACGTAACTCGTGGACGTGTTCAGCTAATTCCAAAAGAATATTATATTCTCTTGCTAATACACATTGCATGGAAGGCTTAATTCCATTGTTTTCTTTTGTGTCTATTTGTGACTAGTACACTTTTTGTGACTGACATTTCTTTATTTTGTGGGTTAAATAAAGTCGAAATTTTACGTATTGCAACTTTGGTACGCGGTATTTGAATTAGCCGCAAGCGACACTAATGAAAAACGCACTGCGCATGCGTTGGGAGAAAAACAAAATGGCGGACAATAACAATTTATTACATCTACAGGGCTATTTTTTAAATATTCRTTTTGGAATTTTACAGATATTTTTRAATTTCTTTACATAGAATCCGACTATGTGATTATCTTCAAATTAGCCATGCTGGATGTCGACGTCGGGCCGCGAGTGGCGGCATTTTCGAAGATTATTTTTGCTTTGTATAAACAAAAGTTTTTTWGTATAAATCAGCAGTGTATCACAATCGAAATTATCTTGCTATTACGAAAAGGACAACCTTAAGTTGTCAGTATTTTTCTTAAGTTTTGCGATTTTGTAAAACGATCAAAACACCGGCATCAAAAACATAAGTTGCCCTTAGTTACGCTACGCCATCTCCGAGCGTGCGCAGTGCGTTTTTCACCAGTGTCGCCGCAAGCAATTTTGTGGCATTTCTGTGGGAATACTCGGAACCAATCAAATCGCATTAAATCCGACGATTATTAATCGAACGCTAAACGGAATTTCTCCGATAGACAGCGACGAAAAGAAACGCTACGTTTCATATATATTTTAGGTGTTTTTCAATCGTTTTCAAGGGAGTGGAATAATAAAAGACGCCGCAGCGGCCATGTTGCTTTGATATAACTAAAAAATTCATTGACAAACAAAGAATCCGTCAGACTGTAGCCTGCATGCAGATTTAACTCGGTTTGCACGCATGCTACCACACTGCGGCCAAACGGTTATAGTATATCGAAACGTTGGAGCTACGTACTTCCCATGATGTGCACATTTGCTTTTCTTGGAGAATTTATGTTATCACTGGGATACCTGTGGAAGGCCCGTTTTTTTCTCTTTCTCTTCCTTTCTGATTCATGCGAACATACCAATGCTGAAGATAATATTAAATATATCGCTAAAGTTACCTGAAACGTGAGAGAAAGTTTACCGCAGTTTCTTCAGGCGCAATTTCTCAAACTGCAGAAGCATAGACTTGACAAGACTCACTTGAATAATGTGTAAACAGACATTGGATATCTTTTGTATAATTGTATAGTAATGAATATTTACATCTAAACCGGTAAAACATGTTTTTGAATTCGATCGTAAAAATATTTATTTGTACAGACATGCGCAACAATTACATACGTAAGACGACGCCAACAGTCAAGCCAAAATAACGAATTTAATTGAGTATTTTTATTATATTTTTCATAAATAAGAGAAAGAATAGACGCAAATAA